CTCCCCTCCTCCATTATTTTTCACTACTGCATATAGTTCTGCCCTTTCTAATGCTGCCCAGGTATGGACAAGTCAAGAAGATCATGATAAACACTTTTCTCATAGATTCCTGGCCCAAATAGAGCAGTAATCATCATCAATCTCTCATTTTGAGACTTCTAGCAGTTTTGCCAAAGTGCTGCTTCTGCTAGAAAACAAGATTTTTCTCTGGCGATACTCACTAGAAAATCAGTTGATTTACTGACTAAGAATAAAAGTCACCTCTTAATTTGTGGGTGCTTATCTGAATCAGACTGCAGTTGCCCATGTGCTCTGTTGTTGCTGCAGGCTATCAGCATGAACCTGGGACCTTGTTCGTATACTGTATATAGAGGCGTGTTTGACTTTTAAGTCATAAAAAAACCACAGCATGGCACAGATTAAATCCATTTGAGACGACTCAGAAAAGAGATGTATGTGCGAGTCATTGGGCTGGGGGTGGGTGGGGGACTGTGACATATACAAACCCTTCAGTGTGCATAGCATAAGATTTTTTGGCTGGCACTCGCATGATTTGATTCAAGGGCTGGGAAAGAACTATGATTAGTTAAAAGCTTCAGCAAAGTCTGGAGGGGAGTGCTCTGAAGAGTTTGGAGCTGCACAGAGGTGACTGTAACTCCTCTAGCAATTTCAGACTATTCTTCTCTAGCTCAGGACAAAAGCCTTTTCTTTGCCTCCGTGTTCAAAGAGACATTTGTCTTGAGATGTTGCAGCTGTGGGCCGTGGGATTGCTTGTTTGAAGATACCCCCTCGTAGACGAGAGGAGAGTCAGCGCACTGAAAAGTGGTAGTATTTTATCCTGTGTGGGTTTTTCCCTCTTCTCCTCCCTCCCTCTTCCGCTACCATGTGTGGTTTTTAATAAGAAGAAGAATGTGGAGGCAACATTTTCCAGGCAAGGGGAAATTTCCTGTTTCTTTTCTGTTTGTTTAATAAAGTGTGTAGTTGACTGTAAAACTGTAGCTACTTTGTTGTGAATGAGTAATTCAATAGATTGTTGGGCGTGCTTCTCGATGCACTTTTATATACTGCAAGTGAACATATTTAAAGCCTTAAAAAAAAAAAAAAAAA